AACTTTAATTTTAATAGATATTTTAATAGACATGAGACAAAGTCTGCAGCAACATCTCCCTGTGACAACTGGATCGTCTCGTGACATCAAAGTACCTCAGTGTGACAGAAGGACTGGATCTACATCATGTCAAGAATTCAGGATACGCTTTTTAAGTTTTATACAAATAAACATTTTTCAAATTTTACCAACTTTAATGATGAAAACAGAAAACTTACAAGCATTGACATGACACTATGGAGTATTAACACAAAATTATAGCTATACCTCGAGGGTAAAGACGATCCCGTTCTACATGTTGTGATAAATTACAGACTTTAAATGTCTAAAATAGTGAATCATTAATCAACACATTTAAACAGGTCAGACATGATTATCACACAGTTTTATGGCAGTCGTGACTTTAATTTTTGTTATTCATTATCTTGTTTGAAACTATAACTTGGCCCTATTCTGTGCAGCATCAGAGCTCAGATGATTTCTGAGGAAATCTTGGATCTTCTTCCACATGTGGACCTCAGCTGCTGCGTGGGACTTGGGCTCACCTCCCCACAAGGCTGGCTTGCCTAAAACCACATTGAAGCTGGAACGGCAGTAGGGTCCATAAGGTGGCTCTAAGTAGTGTCCAGCTCCAGGGTATGACACACTCTCAAACTTCTCCTTCCCGTGACGCTTCAGTCTCTCCACCATCTGGTCCATGTATGCCTTGCTGTCCCAGCAGAGGTCATCCTCAGAGGCCACAAAGAGGAAATGTCCTTTGGCTTGTTCAATGGGAATCAGGCTGCCCTTGTTCTCCTCTGCCAGAGGATTGTTTAAAACGTATTTGGTGATGAAGGCCCCTGACTCAGTGGGAATCGCTTTCTTTAAATCAAACATTAATGCAGAATGTATTTGTCTTTTCTTATAGTAGAAAGGCAAAACTACATTGGCAGAGCAGCCATTGATCCACACTGTGGCCTCAACATCTGGTAGGTAAGAAGCAACTGATAAGGCAAGATCTCCACTTTTGGAAAGGGATATTACACCAACTTTTTTACTGGAACCCTGTGGAAAAACATGTCAATGAACAGCCATCAAAGTTGTCTTCAACAACTATGAGTCTTCCAGAATAAATTAACTCACCTTAGTTTGTTTTTTTAGAAACTCGACTGCTTCTTCCAAATAATCCAGGTGGATCTCCTTAACGTTTTTAGGCAGGTCATCGTGGCCATACAGGGCAACAGTCAGAACCAAAAATCCTCTGCTGGCCAACAGAGAGGCTCTTTTCTCTGACAGACCTCCACCATAAGTGTACAAATCTAACACAGATGGGAAGGGACCCCTGCCTGGAATGAAACATACATGCAAAGCAAGCATATTTTTTGTATGGAGCTAAAATTATGAGTAACTGTAACTAGGACATTTTCAAGTAGGTACTTTTATTTCCTAAATGATGCTGACAAACCTGGAGGAGTAAACAGGACTCCTCGAATGTTCCCCTCTTTGACAGGGACCCGAATGACCCCATCTCCCATTAGAATCCTCTCATTAGTCGCCTCTGCCAGAATCCGGCCCTCACCTGTCTCCTCGTGCACTGAGAACTTTACCATGAATGGATTAAGGGCATTTATCTTCTGAAGTCTTTTATGCAAAGAGTCCGGTGTCATCGACCAAAGCAGACCCATCGGTTCAACCCCAACGTACCTCCCACTGAGCGAGGGGTCTCTCTTCAAGTCAATCTCCCCGTTGCCATTGGCTCTGTAGGTGGCCGCAGAGCTGAACACAGTTCCCTTGTCGTCGGTTGAGCTGGCTCTCAGGGAGACCACCTGCCTCGACCTCAGCCCGGCCACCTTCACCTGAATAG